CCTCAGCAATTATCGGATCAGATTTCATGCTTCATCATGTCGATGTGCCCCCTTTTTTAGTCCACCCTGGGTTGTCTAACAGTGAACCACTGGTATTTTACTACAATACAAACGCTATCACTGCAAATACCCCATTCTTATACAGTGCGAGCCGAATTAATTCGACTGGCGCAGTCACATATGTTTGACACGAACCTCAGATATATCAGTAAACAAACCTAATTAATTTGAATATGTGTATAATACCAACAAACTGCTTCTGATATTTGTGCGGTGGAATCAGCATTCGCGTGTCCGTTCGACAAGCGTCCGTACATGTATGTCACGTGGATATCGATTTGCTGTTAGGCTGTCGCTAGTTCTTATGGGATTAAGCGGCCTTCTGAGTTGTAATCTCGCCTAGGGTCAGACACCTCTGCCTTTCTTACTTCTTAGTCGAGGTGGCTCTGCTTTCCTGTACACACACCCAGAAACAAGTACAAATATGGGTATCTCGCTGCCGTCGTTGAAAAAGGTTGTAGCCGACAGCCTCCTCTCGTTTTTTGCCGCTTCCTGTTCTTTCATTTTCATGCCTGCTATACTGCCTTTGGTCTGTCTTTAGGTCTTTGTAGAATGCTCTAATACTTATTTGATTTTTGTTGCTCGTTCAGATTTCCGTAGAAGACGTAAAACCACTAAGGAACCTGCACATTCCCACCGAGTTTTACGCATGGAGCAGAACTTTCGGTATTATGCGCGTTCATATGCCCTGACACCTAAGTAACAGAACACAGTATTTCCATTGACGCCTGCGCAGTTATTGAGGTATAGAGCGTACAACCACAGAGTTGGCTACGACAGGCGTGTTTATGAGTCCGGTGACAAGGTTTTTAGAGACATTTTTAAAATCTGATCTTACCCATCAGCGACGTTTCATCATCTATGGCAGCGCCGTGTATTAGAGTTTTGTGCTTATTGCGACCGTGATCATGCTTGATCTAGCCGACCTCAATAATGTCGTAGGTATTACTTTTCCATGTGCCATACAACAGCAGATCTGGAGAGTTCGAATCACTTTTCAGGAACCATTGCCCTTAACTGTTTTTTTGAGTCATGTTGTGGGCTGGCCTCCTACTCGACTCCTCCAGGTGGGTGGCGGCAGCCAGCGAAAACAGTAACATCGAGTTCGTAGGACGAATGACAAATAATGTGCCAGAACTACTGCTAGTCTCACAGCAATTACAGAGGTTTTCGACCGATGACCAAAGACCAGGCGTCTGGTTGGTGCAGTGGCTGATTACACTTTCACCTTAATGGACCGTTAGAGAGTCCGATCCTATGTAGCAGAACATGTCCACAGACCCAAGAGTTTGATCATACACCGGGTAGATATCTCCGACAGAAAAATCCGAGGAGTTCATTTTTGTCTTGGAGCAGGTTATTCTTGGACCTTTTTTGGCCGCCTCCTTGCTTTTCTTCGGTACCACCCGCTGCATTATTGTGAGCGAGCCAGCCAGGTGTGCAATGCCATCAGCGTCGTCAAGGAACATTACATGGACTACAGTCTACTGCAGCACCAAACGGGTTTACCAGAAGTTCGGAAGAACTCAGTTCCTCACGCAGTGAAGGTGATCCTGACAGTCACGTAAAGCAACATCGACGAAATCATTCTTCTTACCGCTCGTTCGGATTTTGCTTTTCACTGTGCTAATTAACTTGAGTCGCTGGGACAGCTTTTAACAGCACGTCACTATGCAGCATGGTTCGCCACAGGGAATCCCGATGAACGGATCTGAATCGGAAGTTAAATCCATTAGACAGACTATTCTCGGCCTTTACTTGGAGCGACGGTATTCGAGGCTTCTATAAAGCATGTGTCGGTCAGTACATCCTCACTTCGTCCGACAAATGCATTCAGCTCTCATCCGCATTCCCGGTGCAACTTGAAACGACTGAAAGTAAAATTCTACTACTTTAGCTGTAACCTGAAGGGGAGAGCACCACTCCGCATCTGTAGTTAGTCATGGTAATTTTTTCATCATGAAGTCAGTCGCGAACCGTATGGTTGGATTCCGTAGAACTGCAGTCTTCCCACAATAATCACATTCTGGTGGGAAAAAAGTTCAAGACTGCCGGGATTGAGTTTCGGTATAGCGGTCGACAAGGCTAAAGTGAGTTACGTGTGTTACACATGACCTGGTTCCTATCTCCACACATACCAGGTCACAGTGTGCCGGGAGGTGGCAGGGCTCTCGTAAGTGATGGTGTGACATAGGTTAACCTAGCAGTCACTGCAGTTTGACTTTTAGTCTAAACCGTCCTCTCAGCCAGCAACATTCAAAGCCATGGCGTTTGACATCGCATGATAGTATCAAACATCGTATTTGTGATAGTTAAGAATAAGTAAGGGTACGTTGAGATCGGCTACACTTTCTCTCTTCTCCAATGCACTAGTAGTCTGTCGGAGTCTGCTGGTTCGCGGATGGTGGGATTGAGTGCTGTGGCTGACATGGTGCGAGCCTCTGTCCAACGCATGCTGCACGCAGCTACGTACCCTAACTGACTCATTCAATGAGGCGTAACGGTAGCGCAGCCCGTCTGAGTGTGGCCAACTAGTGGTAACCCCTTCACTATATATAAACAACCATAAGGATGCAGTTTTCCGGTTGTCGCCTACTCTACTGTTAAATTTTGAGCACATTTCTGGCGCGTCTGGTGATCTCCGAAATCCATCATCGTTTATCGAGTCTCGTTATGAATGATCGATTATATTGGGATTTTTCTTCTCCTTAGGACATCGACTTTTGTCCATTTCGTCCCCCTGAATCGTTCGCAGTAGACTGAAAAGACGACTTTTTGACATGGCTACTTACCGTAAAATAGAAGGTGTGGTTTGAGGCACAGAAAGCCAAAAGTCCCGATCTCCCGCAGTTCATATCCTATGCCTCATTTTCGTGTGAATAAACAAGACTTTCAAAACATGCAAGCCCTTAGCTGGGAATCATGAGTTACATCTGCGAGTTTTGCTTTTGCTCTAGGGCAAGCCTGTTTTAAATCTTGAGTAGACAAGTGTTTTTTTAGCAATTTCGAAATTTCTACTACTCTCAAAAGTCCATGAGTAAAAAACGATCGCTTATCAGGAGTGCGTTCACCGTTTAGATTGAATTTTAGTTTGATGAGTGTTACTGTTTACCTAGCACTCCTCACGACGTTACATTTACTATCTCTTTTCCTCGGTGACGGACATTTGCCACTCCTATTTATCCTATCCATATTGTCACCTGGAGTATACAGATTACTTTTTGTGTTGGTCTACCCATCTAAGCCAATTCACCTTGCGATAAAGCCTGCTATATGACACAATAACCTGAAGGAGCTGTGAATCGGTCTGACATTTTTTCAATATTCAGTCAACATCATTCAGTATATTTGGGGTTAAATGGCAGAAACCCTAAAAACTCCATTTAAACGGTACAGGTGTGAAGGAAAATAGTTAAATTGCAAAAACCTTGCATGTTTTAATGTGTTAAATGCACAAATCTAATAGTGGAACATAAAAGGGAAAAATGTGACATTTTCGGAATAACGGCAAAAAGATGGTTCGCTGCATTCGCACTGTGAATATTTTCATCTGGGTCAAAGCTAATGTTTACAAACGGATCTTCTGGACTAATGCCAGCAGTATGTTGCTAGTCATTTCAGTAGTCCACTAGGTCGGGTTTTGGGGAGTTCGGGTTGCCTTTCAAAAGGTGGTAGTCTGGATGTCCCTTGAGCGTGCTCACGGTAGGGGAATTAACAACACAAATCAGCAAAGTATTCAATTGGCGAATGACCCTCTGTGAGAAAAAGGAGGAGCGTTGATTCGTGTGTCACAGTTCCTTTTTAAGCTGGTAATCGTGTCGCCTGAGATTAGACTTTTGTGCCATAACAAAAAGCTTTTCCCAGTCGACATCCAGACCAAGTCCCCTTAGCGACTGAAGCGTTGCTATGAGGTCACCTCCGTCTTGCCTGCAGTGGAGGGGGTGGAGGTTCAAGGCCGCCAGACGCTGCTTGCACTTGAAGTTTTTGAGGTCATGAACAACCTTTGTAGCACGTCGCTGTACACCTTCAAGGATATCTATATCCTTACGAAGCCACGGCCTCCAAGCCTGTACCGCATATTCCAGGTGCGGCCGCACAAACGCCTCATATACCTTGCCAAAGACATCTGCACTCAAGTTAATGAGCGTTCTTTGTATGGCGCTGATGACTGACACTGCCCGCGCAGCGACTTTCGAACATTGCGTGGTGACGCTTAGATTGTCTTTAATGAATATGCCGAGATCTTTTTGCACATCTATGGTTTTAAGTGATTGATTGTCCAGGCGGTACTGTCGTGACGATGCATTTATTCTTCTCCTTGCCGATACTATGTGCATTATCACACATTTTTCGAAGTTGAATTCCATACACCATTCCTCGCTCCATGCGTGCAAATTCTCTACGTCCTTTTTAGTATCTTCACGTCTTTTTCATCCTTTACCACCCTCCACCGTTTAAGATTGCCTTTAATGAGTGCTATGCCCGATTTAACTTTCCGTACTACATCATTTACGTAGATAGCAAATAGGAGCGGCCCAAGAAGTGACCCTTGTGAGACCACTTTTAAAAGGCACCCATTCTTAGCAGTAGCCACCCGCAGTGACTTTTTGTCTACGACCGTCTAAGAAATCTTGAATCCAGTGCAGAACATTGGTAACCAAGTTCTTCTGTATATAAAACTGACATCCGAAGTTACTGACCCTAAATTGTTTTGTTTTTATAGTTTGTCGGAGTTGTCCATCACGTTTTTATCTGATTCCATGTGCGTATCAAAAAAGTATTGTTTAACATCCCACATAGAGAATAATGGCCACATGTACTCTGTCTATCTTGGAGCTTTAAACAGCCATTTCTACCTTCCAGAGTAGGGAGAAATCACGTCTTACTTATTCATTTGACCGCCCAACTAGCCCGTCGGCTATGAGCCAGGGCATCACGCAATGGAAAAGAACTATTTGCACAGCTTAGTTTTCAAACTTCATCAGGAGCACCCCCAGTCAGTGCATTTCTTAGTCTGCTGTGCATCGGCCTTTGTTGGCGAGACACGTAAGTCCCTCCGTGCTGATTCATCTTAATCGCGTTTTTATGCCAGTCACCTACCCCTTAGACATAATTAAGACACGTTTGCAAGTCGTTGGCCAGTTGTCGCCGTCAAGGACCAGACCCAGCCTTCTCAAGCTCACTGTCTCGATTGTCAAAAATGAAGGGTTTTTGAGCTTCTGGCAGGGACTTTCACCGGCTCTCTACAGACATTTCCGTAAGTATTGTTTTTTATGTCGAGTTTTTACTCAGAGAACTGGACTTAAACTTGCACACTTTTAGGAGCGATGCTCAGTTGCATCACCTTGGTCTAACAAAAAAAAACTGGGCAGAGCCTTTTCGGTTTTCGCAGTTTACACATGGAAAGCTTAAACAGCCCTTCTGCCATACACTGTCTTATGAGTGTCACTGCCACTTCACTGTGCGTTGGGTAGAATCCCGTTTCACTGAGATGCACCCATGCCCCTGCTTGTTTTAACCATCACACTGTACGCATCTACTTGGTTCGCCAGCATTCCTTCACTCTAATTTCGCTGTGAAGTTAGCGTTTTTTAAGAAAATTGGATGTAGATCGTGCAAAGAATACCCTACTTTCCTAGATTTAGTAGCCTTGTTTGAGAACTTCGACATTTTCACTGCTTTTTGTGACTTGTTAGGATTAAGTTTCCCGAAACCTTCCACGGATAGTGTCATGTATACCCTTTGACTGGTTGCTGTTGTCTCTTAATTTCTGCCATTTCATCCGAAATAAAAGGGGATGTGGTTGACAGACATGGTCAGTCGACTAGCGCATGGGGGGGGGGATGCAGGAGTTTGGCCGGCACTGGAGAATCCATCTTTACGGCAAACTAGCATATTCCTCGTTATACTAAATCTGACGCGGTTGGACCCATCACAGCGCACCATCAGTTGTGGCTTGGTAGGTTGCCAACCGACATCACGACTCAATGTATATCAAGATTGCTGGTCAGGCTGCGGTGACTCTTTTGTGTTGTGACTTTTATGGTATTCTCATTTATGTGAGGTTCGAGACGTTGAGCTAGGAACTGGTCTATGTGTGACTCGCGTAGAGTGACTGTTTGCCTTTCTGAGCCACTACTTTCATGTCCACTTCCGGCCGTCTTGCCATTATTTGACTGTCGATATATAGTGGATGAGGAGGTGAGGTAGATGCCGTGCAAGTACACTATACATTTCACTGTAAACAGACTCACGCTCAAGTCTCCGCTGCCGGGCTTATCTCACGGGGTATCCGTCAATGTCGCCACTGTCGAACCATCAGTTACAGTTTGGACTTGTTGACGCCCTACATATATTTCCTTGTAAGCATCCTGTAAGTGTTCCACTTGACATGCTTTGCAGTCTACACTGGGGCCCGGATGCCCATCTATGAGGTCATCCGTGGTCACGTGTTTTTGATGCCTCCCGCCAGCAGTGGGGCACGCAAGGCATGGTTGGAGGAAATGAAGAAGTCCGAGCAGGTCTCTGACGACAACCCAGACTGCGAACGTCTGTCACCAAGATACCTGTGGCGGGCAGCTGCGGCAGGAATTCTCTCGGGTGCGCTTGCTCAGTTCATCTGCAGTCCGACGGATCTGCTGAAGGTAACGGGGCCTGCAGTCGCAGCCACAGATCATTTCTTTAATCTTTAGTCGCCCGTAATGGTGAAATGCAGTATATGTCTTCGTGATCCTATTTCACACCCGCAACCAGTGGTAGTGAGGGGAATTGAGTATGGTGTTATAATCCAACTACCAATTACTACTGTCTGTTTCAAGCCACCAGAGTCCATCTTTGGAACTGCAGTAATATCAAGGCACACGAGTTTTCCTCTGTGGGTGGTCAACTGATAATCAGTCTTCCAGTTAACTGATACCGACCACCTGAAGGCATGAACAGTACCAACTTTTGATCTTAGGAGCTTGCCAACCTGGTCGTATTTACACGAGTTGGTTGTCGGCATGAAGACACCTGTTGACGGATAACCTAGTTTCCATCGTTGCCTTCGTTGCATTTACTCACTGACGACTCTCCAATGTACCATTGTTCCTGAATGCATCGCTTGTCAAGTTGCTCAGCTTTTGGATTCCGTGGCGTCTGATGGTTATGCTCTCAGTGTAATATGTCTCTTGTAAAAATATTGCGTTCTTGTGAAATTTTGATGTCACCGGTCTTCTCGCAGCTCAAAGTACGTTTGGTTTGCACCACTGTCATATCAGTAAATGGGTGACGTGGTGGTTTCCACCCTTCATGGTTTCGAATTTCTGCAGTCTGTGAAATCAGTTAACAAGACACTTTTAGTAAATTGCCTCCTCCGTTGTGTAAAAGATCATACTCAGGTCTTAAAGTAAATTGTCCGTGTGTGCTTAGACGCGGACTAAGACAACGCCTCAGAATCATTTTGCTTCGGAACTTCAGAAAAGCTTAGCACGTTACTCGAGCTGTATTTCTGTATTTACTTCCTTTGCAGGTCCGGCTACAAACCGAGCGGCGTAGAACCATGACTGTACTTCCCCCTCCTCCAAACGCAGCGATTCCGCATGCATCTGCTAAGTAAGTCCGGCGCTTTTATTCCACTGAATTAGTACCCATTTCAATTGGGTCATATTGGACTAGTTTCCCGCTTTATCCATCATATTATATATTTTCTCCTGGTACCCATTCTTCTATCTCTGCGATATGTTGCACTCATTCGTATCTAGCCCACGATATTTCCATAGTTGGTGAGGTTACGAGCTACCTACGTTGACAAGCTTTATCTGAGACCTTGTTGTCTGTCTAGGGTGTTGAAAATCAGTAAGTCACCGCCGCTTTCATTTAGATTCCGTAAACGGAAGTCTTCCTATCCTCAGTGAAAACCGTGGGGTGGGACGAGTCTTCATACGGGACCTTGAGGACAGGAAGGCTTTATAGACAGCACCATCCCCTCATCAGTCTAACTGCTGGCCGTCGTTTGGGTTGGCTGTATAAGTGTAATTTGTCACAGAACCAACCAGCCCCATGACTACCTGATAGACAATCGTGACCGACATAGTTTTTGCATTTTAGTGCTTTTACTCGGTCGCAGAACTGTGAAGTCGTGTAATGTGGGGATCACATCTTCTGGAGAGAGTTAGGTTTGTCGGTTGATGACAAAGCCCCCAATCACTGGTTGCGTTAATTTCGCTGCCTAACCAGACGCTTTGCCTCTACTAGTAGAATATGTTAGTGTCTCTCTAATTTCGTCTTGTGTGCCTATTATTTTCGTCAGCATTGCCAACTGTTCTCACTTTTTGTTAACTTCTAGAGCCCCTCCAGTCAAGGTGTCCTTAACGATGAGAGAACTTGTGAGGGAGGCCGGCTTCTTCGGACTCTGGCGTGGAGGTCTGCCCAACGTTCAACGAGCTGCTCTCGTAAACATGGGGGAGATGACCACTTATGACACGGCGAAGCGTTGGCTTCAATTGAGGTTTGGCCTCAAGGTGAGACAAGTGACTACTCCAGTCTCCCTTGTTTGTTTCAGCAACATTTGTTCCACATTTGTATCAACTTCTTCCATTGGTATTAGTACCCCGTCTTCATCATCTATGAGGGATATTTGAAAGTCATTCGTTCAGCATTTTAGTCAGCATTTGGCGCTGATTATGCATAACCACAGTTTTCATCATGTGGACTGCCAGTCCGAAGTACGAGCAGCTGGAGGCAAAGAGGCCCACACTCCGCGACATGTTCTCTTCTGCTGTGATGTTTAGCGTGCAGTCATCCATGAACCAGAGGTCGTGGACACTGGCCTTGTAACCCATCGAAAATGCCTTTATGCATCGAATGTTCAGCAGTCGTCCATCAGTTCGGTAGTCAGCGCTGATTCCCGGCTGTTGCTCACTGCAGGCGTCCGTCATCATGGCGCAAAACACAAGACTGGATACCGTGTAGGCTACTTCAGCCCTTTGGTAACCGCAAGTGCTTCTGAATCTGACTCATTGTCTGTGACGCGCACCATCATCCCGTCGTTTAATTGTCCGACTATTTGCGTGAATCGCTCCATACGTCGGAATCCTAGCCTGATTTCCCGAGTTCATCGCGGGTCACTATGCCAAGGACCTTTGTAACACCTCCAGAGGTATTGTACGGACTGGCTACCGTTCCGTAGCATATCTCCCGTAGCAGTCGAAGCGCATGCATCATATCCGCGGTTCTTCAGTGTTTCCTCAGTCCACATGGTGTTTTTGAATGGGGTCCCCGCCTCAGCTGCATATTCAGACGGTTGAATCAGAGATAGGGAAGGTTCTCCCGGGGTGATTCTTTCATGGTCATTGTCCAATTGTCGGTTCCCACTGCATTTGAATATGTGCACGATAGTGACGTCCTTGAAGTGCTGAGGGATTTGGCATTTTATCCACTTTCATTGAACCAGTGCAGAAAGCTCGTTCATGACTTTTGGACCACCGTAGTTGCCAATTTCATCTGGGATTGCGTTGACGCTTGGTGCTTTTCTACCGGATCTTTGTTGCACTGCCCTCATTATCTTCGAAAGGTTAGGCGTGCAGTCGAGGTCGGCATTTTGTGTCCACTTTAGGCAGTCGGTTTCTGGCCTCGAAGATTGTGTACAGGTGGTTAAGAGTACACCTGAAGTGCTGGTCACAGCGCCCCAGAACCCCCGATTTCCCTGGCAATAGGGTTGCTCCATTTAGACTGAACACTGAGGCAGTCCCTTCGTATGACAGCTAGACCATCACAAACAATGATCTTTACTGTATCCCACAGAGTGGGCGCAGAACAGTGATATGCCTGTGAATTAGTCTATAGTGGGACAGACTCGCACAGCACCTACCGAACTCCCTCCCCCCTCACCGGCTTGGCTCTGGTGACAAGATAGTGTCTGGACAACCAGAGGTGGGCTCGGGTGCAGCGAGGGGAATAGTAAAACAACCCATCTATCGTGTCTCACACCACCTGGCCCCCAGAACGTGTGCTAGAATTCCACTAGGACGGCTCGAATCTCACATCAGTGAGTGCCATTGAGCCTGACTCCAGCCAGCCACCCCGCATGCACACGCAGTACCGATCGGGCGGGCAAAGTTACACCGTCAGTTGGCAACATTTAACGCCACGACTTTTAGCTCGTTGGATTTATTGTAGTGAGGAATACGTTGATTTGGCGTGGGGATGGGTTCTCCGGTGTCTTCTCATTTCCATGCATCAGTCCATTGTCGGGACCTGTTGGCCATCTGGTGATGGCTGACAGTGCTGCGAAAGTTCGTTTACGTGTGCAAGACATGAATTCGTCACCGGGCCATCTACCAGGATGGAATAGACGACGTCCTTCGCACCTGCGTGAGAGGCGCGTGTTCTGTGCGTGCGGCGGGTGCTGTGGCGTGAGTTCATATATGGCCCTGCCAAATGGGCCACGCCGTAAATGCGCCGGACGAACACGGGCGCCACACTGGATTTTGCCAGGCGCTGTCAGAATGTGCACCGTCACATATGCCAATATCTGGAGTGCGGTGGCAGGCTCAGTTGCCGGCCCACGTCGTGCCAACTGGAATCCCTGCGTCCCCCATTCCAGTCGTTGTTGGTTAAAATCCCGGTTAAGTGTTTGTTGAGGGCCAGGAGGTGTGCTGGCAAGGTTAGGTGCGGGTCCGGCCGTGCTAGCCACCTGCGCCCTCTCCTGCCTCCGGTCTTCTTGACTATGTCTTGACACCGAGCCCAGGTGGAGAGGAGGAGGGAATGCGGTAGATGTTGCAAAAGTTTGCACTCGCAATGAGCTAATTCCCGCGCAAGCCGCTGTGCCTTCTCAACTTTGCTGTGGAGCACGCGCTGGACATCGTCGGGCACGACGATCGAACTGTTAGAACCCCGTCTTCTTTTATGATGGGAAATATTTGGAAGTCATTCTTTCTACAGTAATGATACGGTGTCATAGTCTATGGACCTACCTTTATCCTTTCTTGCTTGTATTTGCGTATTTTACCTGATAAACGGGTGGTGTTCTGGCACGAAACCTGAAACCGAGCGGGCGATCCGTATGTTATGCGGTACTCGGGTAAAGTCTAGTTAGTTTTGGCAGAGAAACAGATCCAGTCATCAGATCTAGTCGTCCTAACTCAATATAACCGATTCTCAGAATAGCCGGTGTTGCACAAGCGTCCACTTTAATCTGACACACCAATTACCACTGTCCTGATAGTGGTGGTCATTGTCGCCTCTGACAGACGAACCATCATGTGCACATATGCGCGCGGCCGAAGTCAGCCTCCTGCTTTTCGTCCTTGTTTTCTTTATGCACCCAACCTAAATTGTCCCCTACATGCCGACAGCGTCCTAAGTCTGTTCGATGACGCTACATCCGGTATTTTGTGCGCGCGTAAACACTGCTCACGGCCGATTCCTGATAATATTTTTCAGTCCGACCCATTTTACCGTACCAGCAGAATGGTTGTGCAGAATAGTCTGCCAAGTTATTTGTTTTCCTGCCCCATAATCAGACGTTCGATCCGAAATTCGGAATTTTTAAATTAACTTACGTTTGTTCGTATCCTTGTGTCCCGAGAATGTGTTGGGCTGGGACGTTTTTACTGTGGTCTGTACTCTTTTATTCGTTTCTCTAAACCGCCATTTTGCTGTACTGGAATGCCACCTTTCCTAATTTGCGATCGTTTCATTTCATTCGTGTAATCTTTCTTGTGGGACTTTTATGTTCTTTTTTTACTCTGCTTACAATCGTTCCCGTTTATCTGCAATTCTTTCATACTTGTACTTACTACCTGCTTGCTGCAATTCTTTCATCGGTGAATTTAATTGGTTGACTTTTCCGGTTCCAAATATGATCCCCTCTCAGCAGTTGGTGGTGTCAAGCACTGTTTTGTCTTCGACGAGGGTGCTTTAATTAATCGCGGATTCGATTTTTGAAGTACTGTCCCTTTTCGATATGCAGGATGGTCCCCTGTTACATGGCTGTGCGTCCACAATGTCAGGCTTCGTTTCGGCCATACTGGGTACCCCGGCAGATATGATAAAAACGCGGATGATGAATCAACGCCTCATGTCTGCGTCTGGGACTGCACTGCCGCCACTCTACTCCGGCATGATTGACTGTGCGGTAAAGGTGGTGAGACAGGAAGGCTTTTTCACTCTTTACCGAGGGTTCTTTCTCATTTGGGCCCGAATGGTAGGTGTGATTATTTTGTTCAACTTTACCATGGCTACTGATTGTTGGCAGGTAGTATTAATGCCACCATTGTATCATATCTTTTAGGCTCCTTGGTCCCTTACCTTTTGGCTGACTTACGAGAAACTGCGCGAGTATACGGGGGCTGGCGGTTTCTGATACGCCATCTCTACCTACCCTCACTGCCAGGGTTGCCCACTTGTCGAGACAGTTTCAGTCTAACCTCAAGCCGAGTCGAGCTAATCTATCATTTCAATATTTTCCTTTCTGACCTCTGTTAGCTCTCCAATACTTCCTGTGATTTCAGGTATTACCACTTTCGACCGATCCCCTTCTCGTTTTCTTAATTCCTCCCAAAACGGCTCGTTAGGCATCGTTTATATATACACCTGTCGATTTTTTTACACCCATTTTGCATATTTTTACAATGTAGTGGGTTTCACGAGGAAACGCTCCTCAAGAGTCAAAATTTTTGACCTTTGTGATTTCATTTTTACCACCGTAAGCTATGAATATTGCTAGATGGCACGCAAGGTTATTATATTAGTTCGACGAGTACATGCCAGGCCCGAAAGTCTGGGAACTCTGTACTGCGAGGTGATGCCTTTCAGTATCGAGGCTTTGTACGTTTTCAAAAATTCCAAGCACCTTCCACTTTGCACACGATAACATTTTCTAACACTGTCGATCATGACGACTGCTTCATACGGCATGCGCTTTCATCAGCGAAGATGAACAGGGAGCAAGTCACAACTTCCTAGCAAGATGACCTGCTAGTAGCCCTGATGGTTTGGGCTTTGTGTCTGCCGTGGCCTCGAAAAAGGTTTGAGATGCATTTAGGCGCGATGCTGCAGGCATACTGAGCAGACTGACGTCTAAGTGATGCTTCAAGCATTCTGGACAGTGGAACTGCCAATTCTGTCGTTCACACGCTAACAGTGTAGGCCTAATTTATGGCAGTAGGGATCCTAGAAGCTATTCTTCGAGAACTAACAGTGACGGAGACAGGTTGTGATGGTCGTCTTTTCCTCAGCTGTTGCCATCAGACACTCCGACCAAAGTTTTAAAGAGAGAAGTCTAGCCCATCTGGTCCTTTAAGATGAAAGAATTGTCTGTCAGAGCAGTGGTCTCGCCCTTGGCTGATATTTCAGATGGCGGCCAACTAACTCAGTTAATGACTAGTGGAGCTTGGTTCGGGGTTATTATCCGTTCGCGGAATACCTGTCGGTTCAGTTAACAGGACGCAGTGGAGGTTGCCGATGCAAGTGAGAAGACGAGTTACAGGATCTGATTGGAGGAGATAGACGGATTTGGCCCGTGGCTACCTGGCAGTTTAGTGTCAACGCCATCACATACATGGGACTGCAATACTCCCTTACTCCTTGAACCTCTCTAGAAACGTCGAGTTTTGTCTTGCTTATATCGTTTATGGAGCCAGTTCCACATAAATTCTTCGGATGAGACTGTTGTCAGCGCTGCACACGTGCACCCCTCCGGCGTAGACACGCAATGACTGAGTTAGGCCTCGGAGATACATATTCCAGGAGT